ACACAATTTTATGAAGTTATCATTTTGAACTTACTGGAGGTCTTGATGTGAATAGAATTTTGAACTCATTGGCACTGCTGATGAAGATGGCCCATAGCCAGCGTAACCTGGCAAAGCCATCAATGCTGTCAGTGAGATACTCATTTCTTGAGCTACCTGATGATTTCTCCTTATTGAGAAAGCATTTGCACAGAACACTCTTCCTGGGTGTTAAATTCAAAGCAGTCTCATCTGTCCATCATTAAACAGGGATGTTGTACCTAGTATGAATTTTAGACAATTAATGGAGACTTTTAACACAAAGGGACACTACAAGTTTTGGAGGTCCTGTTTGGTGACAGGCTGAATGGGTTTGAAATATAAGAATCCTTAGTGAGTCGAACAGTGAGAGAAATTCATTAAACAATGTATACATTGATATTTTGTCAATAGACGTTGATAAATATGTCATCAATAAAAAAATCTTAAAATAAACCAAGACTACGCCTCAGGTTCTTCTAGGTGAGTATGAGGGGCAGTAAGAAGTACCATTCAATACCTGAAACAACTGCTACCTTCATATCTCCTTCCAGGATAATACTGTGGTCCTTTTACCCCTATTTCTATCTTCTATTATTGCCTGTTTTACAGATAAAAGTATAGGCTCTCTATGGATCTCCTAGAAGACACATAAACAAAACATCTTTACCAAAGAGTAGGCAATGGACAACAGCAACAGTAAACTTGCCACAATCAAGCAATATTTCCGATTCATAAATGTGCTAATTCTGTCATGTAAGCAAAATTTGAAGAGAAAGGAAGAATCTTGAACTATATGGTGCAACCTGAAACTGGACGAGATGCAATTTCCCATTGGATGTTGACAACAAGCAATATTTTAGAGAAGCAGAGATCAATCAGATTAGACCATCATGAAAAAGATAAGTAAGACAGAATTTTGGCTAGACATGACCAGTAATCTGGAATTATAATTCAGCTGCCACTAGCCCATCTCCTGGTTTGTAGGGTCTGCATAGAGATCAAGGTATAAACAAATTATGTTGAAGAGTCTGCCTTTAAAACACAGTTTTTACCTTTTGTTCCAAGATTTGGTTTTGAGAAGTTTCTAGGAGTCTATGGAGTCCACATATGAAATCAAATATCTCAGCTTAAGAAAGACTCTTTGTCTTCTCAGGAATGACTCAGGTGAGCATTATGACAATCTCAACTCATTAAAAACTGTGTTTATTTCATAGTTGCTTGCTAAACCAGAAATGACATCAGTGTTCAGTCCCTTCAGCTCTTGACGGGCAGTCTTGTGATGAAGGAGAAACTTCCATAATTGTCACTGGTAAGAAGGGAAGTTAGTATCTGGGTTTTAATTACTGGACTGCGATTGTAGATAAAGATGGTAGCCATAGTTGACTACACTTAATTGATTTTCTCTTACAATGTTGAAGAGCACTGAATTAGAGATAAAGAATTGAAGAGTCTCTTTGGGTGAAAAGTCATATCAGCTTAGACTGGAAATGTCTACAGCAGAAAAATAAAAAAGGTAGAATTAGTCTTTGGAGATTTTGTATTATGCAAAAAGAAAGACAAAAGCAATTCTTATCCACAGTATTTGTATTAGTAATCCATTCCTTTGAGAGGCTAGCTGGAATAGTAAGTAAAGAGAGGAAACAATAGTGAACTTGCAGCATTCTTATTTGACAGTCAATTAAGAAAAAGTTGTATGAAAAAAACCTCAAAGATGAAAATTTCCTAAATGAGAATGGGGACACTAATACTGCCTTTGGCTTGCACAGTAGCCAAATCTGGGAAGAAACGGATCAAATACAGCCAAAACCCGAGAAAGTAGGTGCAACAGTGGTACTCAGCATGAACTTTAGCATAACTGGGGAACTGGTAGATTCATTTCAGTTTTCTGACTCCCCAAAGCAACCACAGGATAATCATGAACAGACAAAATATTTGGATGATCACAAATATGAAAAATGAGAAATGTGGTGCAGCCACTTCGACATACTCCAAGAATATTACAGGATGAAAAGGCAAAACGACGGTATTTGGACAAGATCACCACATTTTTGTTATGTCTGCAATTCACAAAATAGCAGATACAAATAACGTGTGTGGGATGTGATACCAAATTCTGAACATTTGTTCCTGGGTCTGTTAGCTGTTTGTGTATTATTACATAACCAGTGACCCACACATGTGGCATGCTAAGTATTTTATTATTTAGTATACTAATTCTAAAGTTCCATCAAAAGTAAGGATTTGTATAGAAAATACTTGTATGTTAGATAGGAAAGAGAAATTACTAAATATAATATACCAGTAACAACTCTTCAAAACTCAAACTCAGTTCATCCCGCCACCTATTATGCGGGCATTTTGTTACTGACCACAGAGAAGGGCAAGCAATCGTGTTCCCTTATGTAAAGCCCCTGATAATACTCTCTCTTTTCTACAGTAGGAATGCTATCATACACAGTATGGGAATAGCAATATGACACACCAGAGGGAGCACATGTTTACCTCATCCCCAACCCCTGGATGGGTTCCTTTTTTCTGGAAAATTTTCATAGAATATGAAGATGGATCCCTTTGTACACAGAATTTTTCCCAAGCAAATTCTCTGTTCCTAATTAGCTACTGCTGCTGCCACAACTCAAACACACTGACAAACCCAGTAGCTTGTGAATGAACTTCTTCACATTTTCTCTAAGTCTCTGTTTGAATCTTCATTTTGTATAGAAGAGACCCTCAGGTACACTGCAAACTTTGTGTCGTCACACCAAGAGCCTATGCCTACCGTTCCTTTGTATATTCCTTATATAAACACCACAAATATCATGTATCTCATTTCAGCTTTTATTTGGATATTTTTAAGTTAAGTTGCTCAAGTCCATTTTCCATCAATACAGACACTAAAAATTGAGATCAACATTTAAGGCAACATTAGCATCCATGCCAAGCTCAATATGCAAACGTTATCATCTAAGCACCACAGCATCCAAGAATTGTCACAGGTCCCCTACCTCCATCACACATTCCCTTTCCATTGTAACTCTGCTATCCCACACTACACTCAGTAACTCAATTTAGATGCAACATTCTCAAGTAAGACCTTGTCATTTTTTATATTTTATTTCTTATGAACTACATCATTTTTGCATAAGGTGATATAAATGAGTGAGATACGTTTCAGGGTGAAAATATGCAGTTGAGTTATGTTGTGACACCATATAGGATTCTTTTTAAAAAATATATTTAACATCATTATTCAACAACTTAGTATGAACATTATATGTATTTAGCCTTTTAGTAAAGGCTATGCATTGAGACTTGTTAGAATGATAATTTTGCTTTAAATTCTGATTTCTTTAGTCTTTAGTGTTACTGTTGACAAGTGTTTGAGTTAAGGATGCTCAGGTGCAACTTTTATGTAAGAATATTTACAAGTATACAGAAGACCACATAGTTTTTAATATGCCCACTATTCTTAATACAGAGTAAATAAGGATTTGTCTTGTGCCCGTGGAAATATTTCAACATGTGGGTCTTGCTTTTTTCTCTTTTACAGTAAAAGGAAAGGTTTTACTTTTCCTTAAGAAGTGTATTTATTACAAGATGGTTAGCATACATATATCACATAACATACAAGAGTTAAAATTAACTAGTTACAAAATAAGTAGTGGTTTGTATATTTCCATATAACCTAAGAACAGGATCAGTATTTTACAAAGTACATATAAAAGTACTTCATATACAAAGAAAAATACAAATGTGCAAACACCATTGTCACAGGTGGAAATTTGTCAATTGAAAAATGCTAGAAAAATCCTTCATAGTTTTGTTTTGAAATTGCAAATGCATTAAAAACAGCTGCATTTCCTATTGTGTGTGGTGAGAAATGTATGTTCCTTTCTGACAAAATAACATTAGTTATAAAAAAACCACAAACAATTTAATAACTGAAAAATCTTAGAAGTATAGTCAGTTTGGTTAGGCTGACATTAAATTACAAGCAGAACGTCTGGAAAAATGAGAAAATAATGAATCATATATACAAACTTTTTGTAATATTAGTGTGCTATTTAACATATTAACATTTCAAAATAAAAACAATGGCTTAATTACCTACATGTTCTACTCAATGTCATCAATATTTGTAGACTGTAAAATTTCTACTAATTTGGGGCTATTAAAAATGTTTCGCCAGGATTTTAAGCTGAACAAACACAATTTTATCAAATGTAAAAATCTATAAACAGTCTTCCAATTCATGTGCAAAAAATGTTTAAAAAGTATCAAATCACGACACATCAAACTTGATTATGTACATATTTAATATCTGTAAATGTTGTTAACTAGCTAGTATTGTTCTGCTATAAATAACTTACCTCTGTCCTGCAAAATGTCTGCATTTTAAAGATTTCAGTGCAAGTGCTTGCTTCATTGTTTAGTGCATTATCATGTTTGTTATTTTTTATTTTACAGTGAGCAGAACAGCATATAAATTAACATATACAACTCACACATAAGAGATCTTTCTTCTACCGAATTCCTAGTTTGTTGTTTTCCATTTCTCCTGGATAGTGTCGGCCAGTTTCCTTTCATTTATTCCATTGTAATTGCAAACAGAATCTAAAATAAAAGTGCTACGATCTTCAGATAATCCCTAGAATGTGAAATTCCATAACAACATTGCAGAAGCACTCAGCAGAGCACAAGATTAGAGAATGACCTGCACACTGAGAAGACACTTGAAAATCTGGTATTGGGCAATTTCACTTTTTGGTCTTTAAAAATATCAACTGTCTATAAACATTGGCAACCTGATATATATGTCACTGGACCCACAAGCTTCATTTATTTATGTATTTTTAGGAATTGTAGACATGCTCCCTCTTATTCATGACTGGCTTTGAAATAAGAACATTCTATTTAAAAATATAAATAAAGTGAAAATACACTTCCTGTTGGAGGGAAAATTTCTACAATTTCCTTTGGACAGGTTTCCTAACAGAGTAGCTCTGAAATGAGAAAACCAGGCTTAGATGATAGTGCAAATACAGCCCACTTTATAGCTAGGAATTGTACTGAAGAAAGTGAAAATTCAGGATAAATGGATTATTATTTTTCAAAGTCCTCCCTGCAGAAAAAATAGCAGTTACAGTGGTTATAATTATTAAACAGAAAAGGAACTTTAGCATATTATGAACTTTTATGGCTGAAATGTAAGGAAGGCTGGTTGTCTGTCAGTAACATTTCAGAACTTAGCTTCTTACAGGAAGAGGTGCTTTAAACGTGTCTTTATTATGGAACGTTTTTTCTTTCTAAGCATCTGAAATGCAACTCTGGATCCTATCCATCCATTGTTGAGCACTCTGTGCATCTTGGGCACAAAAGTTATATACACGTTTATTTGTCTTCAACTGCAAAGGAAAAATAAGAACATGAAGATAGACAAGTCAACACACAAAACAGAAAAAGAAACTTGCAAACTTCACTTTCAACTGTAATACTCAATGTGCTAATTGGGTCTGAATGTAACATTTTTTGAACTTCTACTGTTGAGAGTGAGGGCCAGATGCTAGCTGTGTAAAAACTTTTTGTCTTGAGTTGGCATGACAGGTCCTTCCTAGCTCACACCTTCCAGCAGGACTGAAAGTAGTACGTTAAACACACCAAGAAAAGAAGGTTTCACATAAAGATCAAGTAAAGACCAGATATACTTACATCAAAAAATGCCTTTTCACTTGCATGTTTTGGGGCTCCAATTGTTGGAGAAGCAGGAATCACAGTTTCTACTTCTGCAAGGTCTATGTGTCCCTTACAGCTTGTATCCTCGCCAGAATCATAATATCGCAGCTAGACCACAAGAGAAAAAAAATCCAAATATGCTATTTAGATGGACCTTTCACTTCTTCTTCCCTTTTTCTGGATACAACTTGGGGGCACAGAGGGGTAAGGGTGGGAGGAACAAATATTATTAGGACCTGAGGACATCAAACATGGGAAATTTCTAAGATGCAACTGACAGAAACCATAGGTTTGGTATATACAAAATGGTGGGACTGGTGATAGCCCTTAACTGGCCAGTCCTCTGTTTGACATCTGTGGGTAACAGCAAAGTCTCCACCATCTGCTCCTGTGCAGACACGGAGTTGGGGAAGGAGCATTTTGTCACCAGAGTTTCAGAGCAGAGAAGCTTCAAATAGTCATGCATTGCTTCGGGGCAGGGGACGTGTGAAGGATGAAAGCAGAACCTGGTCTTTAGGATTCAGCATTCCTTATTAGTTTTTCTAACAGAAACCACCTCTTCACTGTTCCTTACACTGAAACTAACACAAAAGCTTTACTTCACTAAGGAGTTAACAGAACACTTATTCTCTGTATTTCAAGAATTTAAAATGATCAGCAAAAATTTAAGTATAATTTTAGATAATTATAAACTACATAGAAAACTCACATTTTCCTATACTGCACTTAGCGGTTGAATGAAGCTTGCTTTTTTTCTTTCCTCCTTGCAAAGATACTTTGATATGAATGTTAACCGCTTTGTACACTGAGTTTCAATATGCAAACAAGTTCCAGAAGAGAAAATCTGATACTTGCTTTTCAAAAAAAAAAAAAAAAAAAAAAAAAAAAAAAAACCCCAAAACCCCAAAAAAAAATAC